TATATATATATATATATATATATATACACACACAAGATTGGATGACTGTACCTGGACCACTCACTTTTGCACCGCCTGCAGCTGGTACAAAATGCAGCTGCCCGTCTCTATACTGGCACACATAAACGTGACCACCGGTCCTAGCTTCGCTGCGTTTGCTCCTAGTTGCTTTTAAAAAAGATTTGTATGTTATTGTTGTTTTTAAAGCTCGGAATGGCCTAGCCCCTGAGTATCTGACTGAGCTATTCAAAATCCATGCCCCTGCCAGAAAACTAAGATCCTCCAATCAGCTGCTACTGGCCACACATAAAACCAGACTTAAAAACCCAAAGGTGACCGGCCTTTGTGGCAGCGGCACTGATGCTCTGGAACAACCTGCCCTGCCACATTCGATCTGCAGGATCTTTTACAGGTTTTTAAACCCTGCCTAAAATCCCACTACCTCTCCTTGGCTTTTAATCAAAAAAAAAAAAAAAAAAGATTTACATTCTTAGTTTAATTTTAACTTTTTTATTTGATTTTACTTTCATTCTTTTTTATTGCATTGTGTTTATGTCTTTTAGCTTTTAAGGTTTTACCATATTTCCTGCAACTGTGATATCTGTACAGCAGTATATATATATATATATATATGCATACATATACACATATATATACATATACACATACAGATATATAAATACATATATGCATACATATACATACACATATATACACATACACACATATATTATATATATGTAAATATGTATATATGTGTATACATATATTTATACATATACATACACATACATACATGTACATACATACAAATATATGTATATATATATATATATATATATATATACATACACATGTATATGTATAGATAGATAGATAGATAGATAGATAGATAGATAGATAGATAGATAGATAGATAGATAGATAGATAGATAGATAGATAGATAGATCCTAACATTGCGGGGGTCGCTGTTTGTCTCACACGGTAAATGAGTCACGAAAGGACTTTTATTTTGAAGAACCGGAAGTCTCAGTGTTTTGGTGCAGGCTGCGGAAGAAGCTATCAGCTGTGTTCCACTGAGAGAGGGCCGATCCCTTCAGCTTCAGCGGCTCCAAGATAAACGACAAATGTGACTTCAACAACAAAAGGTCAAGATGGGATTCACACTGAGGCGCTTACTTGGTGTCAAACCGCCAAAAGCCTCCATTCTGCTGCCTTTCCTCGCCCCGATCCTAATGGTCGGCGGCCAACAAGGCGACAGCAGCGCTGCTATGGATAACGTCGTTACGGAGCGGATGGCTGAGGAGAGCCACCGACAGGACAGTGCCTACCTGCTGATCTTCATCATGCTGCTAACGCTCACCATCCTCACCATATGGCTTTTCAAGCACCGCCGGTTCAGGTTCCTCCATGAAACAGGGCTCGCTATGATCTACGGTAAACAGCTAGCTAAGCCTTGGCAGTCAGCTAATGAACCCAGACTAAATAAAATGAATCTTCATGATTGTGACGTCGCTGCTTAAACTTGACCTGTAAGCTGATTAAACGCTTTCTCCTCACGTGTCTGGGAACACGGGACACCTTAGGCCTTATGTTTACCTCAGTTATTAAAACAATAACTGGGCAATGAAAGGATCCGCCCCCAACACAACAGACATAAATATAAACCAGAAGTCTTTCTGTTATTCATTCCCTATATTTGTTCCAGGAAACATTTAATGAGCTGATCTACCTGTTTTGATTCTCTCAGAGCAAATGGTAGAAATAAAGGTGACCAAGTCAGGCTATTATAGGGCAAATCTAATAGAACAAGGATGGGAATATTTTATTTAATCTTATATGATAAAGAAATAAGAAAAAAACTTGTTTGACAAGCTCCAAGTAGCCACAAGCATCACTAATGCATGGGCAAAACACACACAATAGCAATGAGATGGAAATAATGGCTGCTTTATGTATCTGTCCCACATTTTTTCACACTAAAAGCATGATTGACAGACATTTTTATCACATGCCTGTTCCTATATATAGCAGAATCAAAATCAGACATACTTTAATAATCCCAATAACTATGTAAATATGCATACATAACTATATATATCTATATTGACATAAATCGTATGTATTTAACCTCTTAGTATGAAACAAGGAAACCATAAGTCATTGTGTATTTGGCCTTGTGGGTTAGAGCAGTGGGCTTGTGCTCTGAGAAGGTTGCAATTACCTGGTTTGAACCCCACAGCCTCAGGGTTCCTGAGCAAAAACCCTTAACCCACTGCTTCCCCCATTGAATTTCCCCATTGTGGGACAATAAAGGGATTGACATTAACATTTCAAATAAGTAAAGTGGTCTGCGTTACCCCCTCCCCCCATTGAAAATATGTCCTTGTCACCATGTCATTTTATGCAATGTTATTATATTTTAAAGTACCATTTGTAATATGATTCAGATGTCAAAAATACTTTGCTTTGTAATGATGTATGAGATGGACTTTCACCATATTAGATCTTGGAGATGTTTCTATCAGAATGTTGCTGATTATTTTTCCTTAAGCTTTGAGTCAACAATCTGATTTTAACCCATTTTGGTTTCTGTTAATGAGCTATAATTTTAGAACATTGAAAATCGACTTCTCCAGCTTTTCTGCTGGGAGTAGTCATTTATAAGAGAAAAACAGGCTTATACTATTTTAATCCAAAGAATAGCGATGTAGTTATCCATTTTTTTAAAGGGGTGTGCACATGCACAACCCTGTACCCGCTCTCCTCAAGCACACTCTGTTTAAAAGTTGCTGTTTGCATCACTCATACAAGCTTACTTTCCAAAAGAAGATTTGCGATTTTTCTACTGTGTCAGACTCAACACCGATGAGTGAAAATGTCTTTACCAAAAACCGTAGCCCACCATACATAATCACCCAAAAGTGCACTTGCACAGAAAAAGATAGCAACCTGGGGACGAGGACGTAGGACGGACTTACGTAAACGTATCACCAGAATGATTGACAATTAGGAGGACCAATTATTTGATGATCCACCTGGAAAAAGAACATCCTCCACTATACCTTTAAAATCAGTTGCATCAATTGTCTGTATGTGTGGCCTTTTCTTGTTTTTACATTTATTTTAAAGCCCCTAACAAACACTAAAAAGTAAATATTGAGTCCCCTCAATGACAACTTTCAAACGGAAAAAATGTTACAATGAGAATCACATGGAAAAAAAGATCAAAGGACTCTTTTGTTTCATTACAGCTTCCATATTTCAACAATACTGCAGCGAAATGATTCTTCTAACTCTGTCTTCATCTCACCTCTCGTTTCTCCTTATAGGTCTCTTGGTGGGTGTGATCCTGCGCTATGGCATCCATGTGCCCCAGAGCATGAGCGACGTGGTCCTCGAATGTGCCGTCAACGCCAGCCCCGCCACTTTGCTGGTCAATGTCAGCGGAAGGTTCTACGAGTACACGCTTAAAGGGGAAGTGAGCCGAGGCAAGGACCACCAAGTGCAGGACGATGAGATGCTGCGAAAGGCAAGAAGCATAAGTTCTTAGTTGCTGAAACACAAAACAACCGTGGCAGTGATGTGACTATTCATATTATAGCTGGTGGAAGTGTATTAGATATAAAAAGAAATTATAATTCGACCAGGTTATTATTAAATTATAATCCCTTTTTAAGGTATTTACTAAAAGATACTTCGCTGCGCTTTTACAGCCAGCAGTTCAGACTGTAGTTTTTAGTTTCATTTAGATGCACACACAAATATCACAAGCTAATCTAATGTAGAATATGGACTATTATTAATAAGTTCAATTCAATTCAGTTTATTTATATAGTGCCAATTCACAACACATGTCATCTCAAGGCACTTTACAGTTCATCAGATCATGCAGTCAAATTGATTAAAAGTTTTCTATCTAAGGAAAACCAGTCGATTGCATTGACTCGTTGACTCGAATGCAATGCCTCACACTAAGCATGCTTGTAGCGACAGTTGAAAGGAAAACTCGCTTTTAACAGGAAGAAACCTCCAGCAGAACCAGGCTCAGTGTGAGCGGCCATCTGCCGAGGCCAACTGGGGTTCAAGGAGACAGAAGCAGAGATACAAAAAGCAGCTTTAAAAGGCGGCCACGTCCAGGAAACACACAGCCAGGCAGACGAGCTCCAAGCCAGCTCCCATGTCAGAGGATGAAGAGAGCACATCCAGCCAGTCACAGTCAGAGAAACAGGACTACACTGGAAAAACAGGCCGATCTCTAGCATCTATAAACAGAGGTGGTGATGGCAGCAGCGCAGCAATATGAAGTCATTTAATTAGAAAATATGATGGAACAGTGACACCCATACATGGTTTTATCCACTCTTGTAAATTTGCACACGGAGACAGAAAAGTAGTAAAAATTGTTCTATAACATTTTATTCTTTTATTTTCTAGGTGACCTTTGACCCAGAGGTGTTTTTCAACATTTTGCTCCCTCCTATAATCTTCCATGCTGGTTACAGCCTAAAAAGGGTGAGAGATTCTGAATGTTACAGGAAATTTGACCCTTTTTTCTGATCCCTTTAAATATAGACTCCACTGACCTTTGTCATTTTGTTGTCTGCTTATAATTTGTTTTTGTTTTTTTATCTTCTTAGCTGGTTTATTGAAATGCTGCTTCAATTTTTCCACATCAGGTTCCTTTCTCTGGGTGGAACCTGGTTTGGGAAACTTCATTTTTTCCATCACCTCTGTACTTATTTTTTGTGACAAGTTTCTCTCTGTTCATCTTCCAAATGTAACGTGTATCTTTATAGGAAACTTTTATGTCCATCAGATGCAGGCACATTTGTACAAAAATTAAGGTTTTGTTTCAGAACAAAACATATATATATATTTTTTTTTTAATTAATTTTTTTTTGCATTTGTTATGATGCAAAACATTTTGCATCATAATAAATGCATCTGTTGGCTACAGTTTCCATGTTTTTCCTGTCTTTCTATTTGGATGAAATCCCTTTAAGTGATGAACGCAGCCCATTCCGGTACTTTTCTTTTTGAAGGTCTTTGTTTATCTTCTTGATATCTTACATGGTCTTTTCATTCGGGCCTTTTCCATTATTTTGCAAATCGGTTAATCTGTCGATTATTTTTTCGATTAATAATTGAATAGCCAAAGGTTCCTTAAAGAGGATTTTTGATTAAATCAAACCAAGTGAAACTAAAACTTATCCACTTGTGGAGTTCTGGTTAGAGCATATTGATGGATGGAAACATTTTAAATCTGAAATGCAAAAGTCTAATATTTTTTGCACAACCTTGGAAAAATTACTGCTCTAAGTGGGTCGCTCTGTCAGATAAAAGCATGTTTTAGAGTCTCTATACTCCAGTTAATGATTAATCTATTACTAAATTAATTGATGATTATTTCAACAATCGATTAATCATAATCTGTTTAATTGTTCTAACCCTACTTTCCATAGGGTCACATAAGGAAGCAACGTGTTTGAACTTTTGCTTTAAAATATCTGTGCTTTCATTTAGCTAGAAACATGTCACCAATAGGCTCTCTCATTAGTAACATGGCTGATGACAAAATAATCGGCCCTAAATTAACCTGAAACAGTCAATCTCTAATTTTTTTTAATCCTAACTTAGCATAACAGGAAACCTTTAGCCAGTGAGAAATTGTGTTTATTGCTCTTTTATGTGGTTTATGTGAGTTTCCTTTTTCAAATGAAAATTTGATCAGGATATATTCAGGTAATCCTGGGAGAACATGAATAGTTCTTTAAAATTACATTTTTTTTCTGGTTTTAATGTTTTTTAAAGCCTGTGACTAATTCATACTCATCATTTTTCTTCGTAGAGGCATTTCTTCAGAAACATTGGCTCAATCCTGGCCTATGCTTTTATTGGAACAGTCATATCCTGCTTTTTTATCGGGTAAGTCAACCAACCTCTCAAACAGCAGGAAGTACAACAGGAAGTACTTTAGGGATCTGATCCATTACTGATATTAAATATTTGTTCGATATCAGCCCAGAACCAAAAGTGGTAATACATAGTCTGCATCCTAGCCGATTGTTTTAATTGGTTAATTTGTTCTCATACCTTTGGTTGTTTATTGTTCTCTGTTTTATTAATATCACTTGATCAATTTATTTCTACAAAATGAGAGATAAAGCACATTGATATCCTATTGGTATCAGTATTAATATCAACTCAAAGATTCAATATCTTTATGGTATCAAAAATGAAAAAGTCGTATCAGGTCATCCCTGAAGTAGACCATCAGCACTAGACTATATAAGTTTAAATTCCTAAATAAAACCTAAGCTGTTGATTGGTTGAAAGACAGTCCATGTTGTTGATGGCTCGCATTTCCCTTTCAGGCTCATCATGTACGGCTTTGTGACTTTTATGAAAGCTGTTGGCCAGATCGGTGGGGATTTTTTCTTTACCGACTGCCTTTTTTTTGGGGCCATCGTCTCGGCAACAGACCCAGGTAGGAGGCGCAGTCGAACCTCAGTCAGCCGCATGAAATATTAATATAGAAAGCAGTCATTTGATTCCCTCGTGATGAAAAATGCATGCAACAATGTGGCTGAAACTCCCAGTTCTTGCATGCATCATGTGAGCAGCGTGGACACATTTTAATCGCTGGAGAGAGTTTAAGAAGTCTTCTGTGCTTTTGTCCCCTTCTAAAAATGTTGTTTTTTTCCTTGTTGCCTCAGTGACGGTACTAGCAATCTTCAATGAGCTGAAGGTAGACGTGGACCTGTATGCTTTACTGTTTGGAGAGAGCGTTCTCAACGATGCAGTGGCCATCGTCCTCTCGTCGTAAGTCTAAAACACTCTGCAGAGCTGCGTCGCCGTGGTCATATGTTGAAGAATTGCACTAGGAAAGATTTTTTTCCCCCCGTGACCCCTCCCTGTGCTTTTACAAGCTAACTGTGACTCTCATGGACATGAACCACACTAACATCAACATCCCTGTCATTTCACTGCCTGCCTTTCTTCACCCGTCTGTGTCACTGACCGCCTGCCCGTACGTATGTTTGCATCTCTGCATGTAGCGTCCTCCTGCGCTTTGAAAAGCAGAGCAGGCAGGGGGCTGGAGCTGTTCACTCTGCTGGAGAGGACAGCTCGGTTATGGGCGAGGAGATGGAGGAATGGCTGGGAGGCAACCAGACATTCACTCCTCGTGGGTGGGTTTGGGTTGGATGGACGGCGTGCCTTTGCTTGTGATAAAACATTAGACTTTTTTTGTTGTTGTTGTTTTTGTTGCTGTGTTTAAATCTTTAAAATAAAATGTAGACTTTACCTTTAGGAAAATCTCTCCCCTCCTAATGATCACAGCCCCCTTTTTTTCTCCTTTTCCTTATGTCATTCTCAGTTTGCTCCATATTCCAATCACCACGCTTGTTTTCAGAAAGTCAGACTTTATAATATTTTTACTAACATGCAAGTTGCAGTAGTTTATTCTTTAATGGTAATAAAGCAAACCTAATGTTTCTAGTTAGTCTTCAGCTTGCAAACCTTCCATACTTTTATTTATATGCTTCCTCTGCTGAGTGTCTTTCTCACTGCCGGACGGTCTACCCAGTTCTAAGAAAATATGATTTCATCACCTTCTCTTCCTGTCTTCTTAGAAGGACTGAACCTTTGTTTTTCCTTTTAAATGTTTCTCTGCACTCTAATCGCCCTTCAGTTCCATCGTGGCGTATCAGCCGGCGGGCGACAACAGCCACAGCTTTGAAGCCATGGCCGTGCTGAAATCCTTCGGCGTCTTCCTGGGCGTCTTCAGTGGCTCCTTCTCACTCGGTGTGGCTACTGGAGTCATGACTGCTCTCATATCCTTTTATTTAATGATGAATTATGGGTAACCTTATTGACCTTGAAGAGTTTCTTTCATGCAACATTGCAATAAACGCAATTAATTAGCACCTGCTGCTAAAATTGGTTGAAAAGCTTTAACTAAAACAATCTTCTGCAGCAGGATAATTTCAAAGTAAATGACAAATGTCCAGCTTTTATTTGGAGCAACATTACAGGTCAGGAACTGTCTAAAGAGAAATGGCTGTTTGCCTAAGCCTCTTCATAACTACTGTGGAAGCATCTTGATTATTGCTCTTTTTTTAAATGGGTGACAAACAAGGCTGGATCAGAAGCCAAAAAGGTAAGATAAGATAAGATAGACTTTATTGATCTCACAGTGGAGAAATTCATGTCTCCCATTGGCGCAATAGTCAAAAGAAGTTGCCAGAAGGAGGAAAAGGTGCATGAGGTATATAAAGTGCCTCATATATACAGTGGATCAAGGAAAAAAGAAATAGGGCAGAGATTTAGGGTGACTTATGTACATTTAAGGTGACTTATACACATATAGATTTGGCCGTGTACATTACAGTGGTACCAGGTAAGGAACGACAGTGAGTTAGTGAGATAACTATAACAGCTGAAGTCTCTTGTTGAATACGATTATTGCACATGTTATTAAATAGTAATACCCTCTTTTATTTCCTGTACCTCTCTACGAGAGATAAGGAAAAGTGAATCTCCAAAGCAACAACAGCATGAGGCGGCATGTGCGACACAAAGTCTCCATTACGCCCATGAAATTACGTCTACAAGCAAGAAAATGCTGTTTCTGTGCAGCAGTCTCAAACATAAGCCTGCCTGGTTTGCTTTTGATCAGGGGTGGGGGTTCGTATAGTGGTGAGTGTCCCCGTCTGTCACATGGGGGACGGATTAGTTTCCCCTGACAGAGAGATACACATGTATATATTCTACTTTGTTAGTCGAAGATTCTGCTAAATGCTCAAACAACATAAACATTTATTAAGGCGGTATCTGTATATAAGTGATCTAGTCAGATGAGGCTTTGTTTGATCTTTTTAAAGACACTCCAAGTGGTTTAGTTTAGTGAGAACACAGGAGGATTTAAAGACATTTTCTAAATGAGATAGAAAGAATACTCTTTATGCTCCAACTTAGCGCTGCTCCTTTTAGAAAGGTTTTATGTTTTTTTTTTTTTTTTTATAAAGTATTGATACCAGGAATGCATCTGTTGGCACAAGTAGCCACTAAAAGGAGGATCTTTATTTTTTTTTTCTTGCTGTTGTCCTTAACTTGTAGTTTTCCTCACGTTACAAAGTTTACTAAGCTGAGGGACTTCCCTTTACTGGAAACGGGCTTATTTTTCCTGATGTCGTGGAGCACCTTTCTGTTGGCTGAAGCCTGCGGGATGACGGGTACGTCCGCTGTCATAAAACAGCTACTCTGCTTTCATGTTTTCAGTCTTCCTGACAGCTTTAAAGCAGAAGAGTTATTTTAGTGTGGAGAATAAGAATTTCCTTTTCAAGTAGCTTCTTATACCCTCTGTACTTCCTGTGACTTCATTTTCAAACTTCTCATTAAACACTGAAAATAACGTGACCAACATCCTTCATCCAATTACAGCAATGCTTGTTTTTAGCAGATCTTAGATGTTGTATACAGAGTTATACAAATTAATTATATATGTTATTAGTTTGTATGATGTTGCTAGTGCAAACGGTTAAATATTTGTTGGGATATTATTTGCCAAATCTCCTTAATGCTACGTTCACACCGAACGCAGCAAGAGCAGCAAAATCGCGTCTGCTGCTTCATTTTTGCTGCTTGTACCAGTTTAGTTCTGACGCGCGGCTGAAGCAGCTTTCCTGCTCTGGCTGCACGGTCCAAAAGTGGGTCTGACGCGCGTTGGGCGGAGCTACTCCATCCTTTCTTTGCCTTGCAGCTGTATTTGCTGTAATCCGTGGGAATAAAGTAGTTTTAATATGTTTTTAAGTGAGAAAATCCACCTGAAAACTTAATCAGTGCAGTCAGTTCATTCAGATTATCATCGTTCCTTCTAATATAAGAAGTCGCTCAGACCCCCACATACCAGCGGTGCGCTGTCAGCAGGATCCCATTCAACAGCAGCCTCTGGCCGGGTCGCCTCCTCGCGGTTCACCGCGGCAGCTGGTAGCTGTTTCTCATAAAAATAATCCAAACTGCAGGCACCAGGATAATAAAAGCCAACATATTCTGCCGGCAAATTTCTGCATTTTAAGTTAATTTAGGTGTTAAACTGTTTCATAGGAGTGATCACAGCACTCAGTGTCATCAGCGATGTGTCCGTCTCAGGGTCAGCTCCCAGATCAGCTTCTCTGATTGGTCGACGCGGTGCGTCAAGCAGCAAAAGTTCAATTTTTCCATTTCGAGCAGCAGCGCGTTTGCAGCGTGTCACGCGCGTCAGATACTTAAACGCTGCTTCAGCTGCTCAGACGCGCTTGCGTCTGCTGCTCAAAAAGTGCTGCGGGACCTTTTGCTGCGCCTTGACGCGCGTCAACCATTGACTTTGCATGTAAACTTGCTGCTTCTGCTGTGTCCGGTGTGAACGTAGCATAATTCAAAATCTTAATGGTGATAATGTAGTTGGCCAATTAGATGAACTCTTACTGCACCTAATGTCCATTGAGCGGAAGAACACATAGCTTGTAGGGATTAATATCCCTCCAGGTTTTACACTGGAGTAGCTGGTTGCAGCAGGTTTTACTCTGGTTATTTTCACACACAGCAAATAAATGGCTTTAAGGTCCATCAGTCTCTGGAATTGCCCTTAAGAATGAGTTGGTGGCTTTTCTTCAATTTCTCGTTAGTGATACCCCCCGAACACTCTGAACCATCCACCTGCTACTACTGGTAGAGGAGTAAACCATATTTTATGTTTTTGTTCTAGGTGTTGTGGCAGTGCTTTTCTGTGGGATCACTCAGGCTCATTACACCTACAACAATCTGTCCCGTGAATCTCAAGACAGGACTAAACAGGTGAAACACACTTCACACCACAGTGATTTCCATATCATTCTGTTTTACTTCCAAGCACTTTCGTTAAATTAAAATTGTTATCACACATTTGAGCAGATTCTTCTGTCGGGGAGGAAAAAAAGGAACATGGGAGAAAAAATGCAAAAGTGCAAAACTTCAATACAGTAGATCATGAAGAAATACTCAGAAAAGGGATTCTATTTAGTGCAGATTATTCTCAGAAGTGCGTAGAGTGATCTTATCCTGATAACTGATGAACTACAGTATAGAAGCCGCATACTGCATATGAGTGAGTTATTTTGACATCTTGCTTCTTTTAGACACGGATATCTAAAATAGATTTGCTGAAACCGACTCTGTGTTCTGCATCATCAGCATAAAACACATGTAGAACTCTGCACCAAAACATGAATACAGCAAAGCAGAGCACGCTACCTAAAACCGAGCCTTGAGGAACACCGAAATTAATCTTTTGCAACTTTTACAGGATTGCATTGTCAGCGGTTACAACATAGGATCCTTTGCTTGACTTTGGAAAAACTGGGCTTAAGAATATCTTAGTTATACCGTAATTTTCAGACTATAAGCCGTGACTTTTTCCCCATTTTTCGACTTTGCTGTTTATATAACAATGCGGCTTATCTATGGACTTTTACAGCTAACAGCCACTAGGGTAATACCTAAATCTATGGATTTTACCAACCACCATGTTGACGTCACTTTTGCTTCAACACACAAGTACAGTAGCCACGCGCGGGAATGCGGAGGTCCTCTGGAAGCAGACTTCTACCACGAGTGGTACGAGACAGAACGACAGCGAGAAAGACGGACATTGCGAGCGCAAGACAGTTTGTGTTAAACATTAAAAACCTGCGGCTTATAGTCCGGTGCGGCTTATATATGTACAAATCATGCAATTTAGCTTCTGCGGCTTATATTCAGGTGCGGCTTATAGTCCGAAAATTACGGTAATATAATTGCCTTATTTTTAATGTACTTTTTTGGGAACAGAATGCAGAAGTACTGATATGTCAAAAATGTCGTTCACTGCAAAAAATACCTAGAAATAAATCAACGTTTCTTAAATTAGGTGTATTTACCCTTAATTTGAGCAGGTAAATAAGACGATTTGCTAATGGAATAAGTATTTTTACTCTTAAAATAAGATAATTAGATGATATGCACTTGAAATAGGACAAAGCAATTGTTTCTTTCTTATTTTAAATGTAAATTGGCTTGTTCCATCAGCAAAGTGTCTCACTTACTGTATCTGCTCAATTCAAGAACAAATGCACTTTTTTTAAAAGAAAAAATAACTTATCTAGATTTCATTATTTTGCTGTAAATTAAAGAGCCCAAGATTGTAAACATTTAACACACTGGAAAAACAATCTAGAAATATAAAAAAAGTTCCTTAAATTAAGCATATTTACCCTTAATTTGAGTAGGTAAATAATTTACCAATGGAATGAGTATTTTTTTCTCTTAAAATAAGATGATTAGATAATTTGAACTTTAAATAAGACAACGCAACTGTGTTTTCTAATTTTAAGTGTAAATTTTCTTGTTCCATTGGCAAAATGTCACTTTTACCTGCTCTATCAAGGAACAAATGCACTTAATTTAAGAAATAATTACTCATCTAGATTTCGATTATTTTCCAGTGCATGTAAGAAAATGAATTTCTATTTGTTCCATAAGAGTATTTTAAAGATTTAGTAGATTGGCTTCCTTGGTGTCCATTTAAAAAGACTTAAGGTACAATGATTCACTGGAATTCCACTGAGGGAATAACAGAAATGGTACAGTAGGCTTTGGGAGGGTTCAAATCTATGGTTGAAATTTGGAAAAGATGATCTGTTCTTCTACAGGAACAACTGGTTAAACTTTGCATTCTGACATTTAGGTAAGACTTGGATAAGAATGACAAGTTGCTCATCTCAATGTCTTTTTTGTTTTGTTTTTTCCAGCTGTTTGAGCTGCTGAACTTCCTGGCAGAAAACTTTATCTTCTCCTACATGGGCCTGACGCTCTTCTCCTTTCAGTCACACGTCTTTAACCCCATGTTCATCATCGGGGCCTTCGTATCCTTCACTATGCTCTGCATTGGATCAGATCACACACTCAAAAATCTTACTGAAAAAGCTTTAAATGAAAAGTTAACACAACCTTTCAAGTATTAAGATAACCAAAACCTGTCAATGAGACACACTAATTAATAATAGATTTTACCAGGAACTGAAACCAAGAGGGAAATCCGGGGCACACATAAAAGACAGATTAGTCATTGGGTTAGTTTGATCGTTCAAACTGGGGTTGTACCCACTAATGTTTCCGTTCTGCTCCTCATCACCTTTTGAGTCATGTCCTTGACAGCGTTTCGTTGCAGCTGGCTGTGTTTCTGGGCAGAGCTGCAAACATCTACCCCCTCTCCTTTCTGCTCAACCTGGGCCGCCGAAATAAGATCGGAATGAACTTTCAACATGTTATGATGTTTGCAGGTAAACCTCCAAAACAGATAATTAAGTTTGAAAAAGAAAAACACACATTGATATAAAGCTTTCTAGAGGAAGTTGCATGCACATCATTGTCTTCATTGCAGGCCTCATTAAAGTGTGACTTATTCATAAAACCCAGTTTTATGAATAACCGTTTTTATCTCCTGCCTCCTCCAGGTCTGCGTGGGGCGATGACCTTTGCTCTGTCTATCCGGGACACGGCTACTTACGCCCGGCAGATGATGTTTTCAACCACCCTTCTGATTGTTTTCTTCACTGTATGGATCTGTGGAGGGGGCACAACGCCCATGCTGTCTTTCATGAGCATACCGTAAGGCTGGCAATCTTATAACGTCCGTTTGTTGCACCTTTTTAATCGCATCTATGTAACCATTGCAATCTCTTTCAGAGTGGGGGTGGATTCTGATCAAGAATACTCTGTAAGTATTTAACTCAATGTCTAAATCTCTTATTTTTAGGGTGAATTGCGCCCCCTAGAGAGGAATCAAGTGTGCTGCTTGAAGTAGGGAAAGAGCTGTAAGCCATATGTGACTGAAATGTGTTAGCATTTTTGATAGATAAGAAAAGGAAGACAGACAAGCAGAGAAATTATTTTTTGGACTTATAAAGAAAGGGAAAAGTAGATCCAGGCCTTTTTGTGTGTGATGTCTTCCAGTTTTAAGCATAAAGCTAAAAAATATGTTAGATCTCTGGACTGGAGCTACCACATCACTCGGTGTTTATACAGTCCCATTAACAGCTCACTAATCAAGGGAAATCTTATTATAAATCTTATCTTTGTTCTTTAGCAGGCTATATTTGTGTATTGGTCTTTTTCTTACAAAATACTTTAAAAAAAAGTTTATTCCCCCTTAACAGTAGAACTCCCAAGGCGGTCATTTTGACGGTTCTGAGATTTTTAAGTGAAATAACTTTAATTACATTAAAGGAATAGTACACCCAAAACATGATTAGCCTTCATTTTCTACTCACCCCCATGCTGAACAACACTCTGGAGTACTTTTTTG